ATTTACGACAGAAATATACCACTTTAGGAAGTAAATATTAGACGATGACATATTTTTATCACTGCACCGACGTATGGTGTTGATATAAAAGCAGAAGCAACGTCAGCAACGAGCGGTCCATGAAACCGAACTCTTTAGTTAATTATTCTAGTTTATTTATCTAATTTATTATTCTGGCACGTAATGTAACTGTTATAGCAATAATATTATTCATTAACTGCCCAACATTCGAAACTATGCCTAACTGTCCAGCACAATTAACGAGTAATTTTACAATCAGTGCATTACGCTTAATTCAATCCATGTCCGATATATTTAACTTACTCGAACATTCAACAAAGGATTCATCCACAAAATGTTACCCTGTGTTACGTGGATTTATCGATTCGTTCTACTATTATTTAATTTCAATGTATAAATATAATAAACGGTATAATAATCGAATTGAATTATCCGCTATAGATCAGGTACAATTCTAGATTCCACGCAGTGAAGTTTTCGAAAGACCAGAATAATTTCAATGTTAGTTTTCCCAACACGGGACTTGAACTTTAGGCCTATTTAAATTCGACTTACGTGTCACTACACACCAGGCACTACGGAGAATTAAGCCTGAAGTCAACATTCGCGTTTACAGCGAAATCGATTGTCTATATTTCATTTGAATCTATAAATACGATCATAATTCATACCAATTAAATTGCAAGGACTCCCCAAATTATCAACAATGCCATTATACATGATGTATAATGCATTACAAAGATCGTTTGTACGAACTAGAGATGGGGTAAAGTAGTTATTTATTTTGAGAGCTGGATTTATTTGCGGAAATGGGTTCGACCCACATTACTCAAGGGAGATTTTGCTGAATAGGACTGTAAAGTATGCCTTTCGAATTGAGATAATTTATTGTGTTTTGAGCGGATCTCGTTTGCTGTATTTTTGCCTGGTTTTCCGTTGATTGTTTGGTTAGTTGAAAAAGGGACGATATGAAATATTTTAATAAGGGAAAAAAATAAGTGTGTTTCTGTATTGGTTCTTAAATTTCTATCCTAGAATTGAGATTGATAATCAATATGATTCACGGCGAATTTATATAGGTAGATATTTAATGATTCAGTACCTACTTACTCAAATAATAAAAATCTACCCATTCAATTGTAGGACTCATACCTATAATACGTACGGTAACATGGACTTAAAACAACACATACGGTAGCGGCACTCATTTCAAGATGGCTTGTAATTTAAGTTATAAACCCATGTAAAATATAATTGTACGTTTATATGAAGGCAAAGGTACCAGTGTTTAAATAAACATGAAAAGTTTACCTCGAATTATAATTAGACATCAAACCAGCCAGCGTGGAGGTTGCCTCGAGAGGTTACAAAAACGGGTCAAGTATAGTTTTCATAACGCACTACTAACACGCAACGATCGTTGTACTTAAAACGAAATAAAAAGAAATTATTTTACTCCAACTTCGTACTTACATTTAAGCTTCAGTCGGAGTAAAATACCACGTTTTTTGCCAATTTTCTTCTATATTTTTCTAGAAATTTTTTTTTTTTTTTAGTAAACACTGCTTTAAGTTACACAAGTGTGTTACTTAAAATTAATGTCAATTACTATGTGCCAATATATGTATATACACGCGTAAGTATGAATACTCGACGATAGATAATTAATTGAACTTGAAGACGTTATTTTAATTAGTACAAGGACCGCTGGCCTCGGAAGAAATAAGAAAGAACAGAAAAAGTCTTTAAAATGTAAATATAGAATGAAAGAGCGTCCCACGATTTTCCAATTTACTTTATGGCTGATAGAGATATTGATTATAAATCGATTGTTCGATTGTTCATATTCGTTGCGGACTCACTGAATGGAGAATTGTAAATAAAAGGGAATTCTTGGAACGTGATTTGGAAAACATCTTCAGCATTAATTTGTGCACAACCAATATAACTTGATAATACAATAATACCGACGTGATGTAGAGATCTGACAAGTAATCTCGGCGGATTTCATTTTAGTAGGCGAATTAAATCCTTATGAATATTTCATGTACGATTTTGGTATTTTCAGAGAGTGAATAAATAAACTTATACTTTGTGTCTCCGCATAACATTGCCTTTAATACGTAGTCGTTATTATAAATATGATGTTCGACCCTAATTTACCGGAGTACAGCACTATTACGTACCGCAATAATAATATTGTCGTTTTAAACTTTGCAAGGTCACGTTTCTCTTAATATTATGTTACGTCGTAAGCATAAATCAAGGAAAATGCGGGGAATATTTTAATACATAAGGGTTTTGTGAAGCAGTATACAGGATATCTGCCGTGGGTCCCGCGGTTCATTAAATGTTTCTGAGTTCATTCGAAATATATTTCACGCATTAAACAGCCTTACCATTTTATCAAGATTACAACCGCAGCACGCAAATCCTGGTTCATTTACTTTTCTTTCCTAATTTTCTGTGCCATATTCATAATTTGACCTTCGCATAAAGAGGTTTAGGAAAATATATACCGGATTAATCTATTTCCTTCCTCATTTGAGTGTCCTAAAGAGAAAACAAACTGATGTAATTTGGCAACAGCCTTTGCTTATTCATTTTAATTATGTTCATAGTTCATTACGAGCAGTACGAGTATTATATTCATACTTTCGTTTGTTCATTCATGTTATTCAGAAATATTATACATGACAATTTATTTTACAGTAAGCAAATAAATAACAATAATAACATTCAAATAATATCCTATTATTTACGTACGTAGAGTTGTATAATCGAGTAACTTAATGAAGGCGCTTACTTCTGATTGTTGCTTGATTAGTTACACCTATTCGAATTTGTTGAAGTAATGTCAAAGTAATTTGCGTTACATAGAGCCAACCTTCTATTTGATTAGGGAATCCATAATAACATAGAACGCATCACAATAGGTACCTTTGGCGTTGAGTGTCAAAGACCTTGTCGCCTCAAAATTAATAGAACTTCTGCATTGATCAGGTGGTCCACAAGTTGCCGTGAACCCAGGGGCGACCTCAACAATGCAATGATTAAAGTTCCCAAACTTCGACTTCAATTCAATTATACCTACACTGCATTATAAATCACCAGAACCGTCTTGTTTCAAATAAACTGAATATACAAAACATCACTCCTTTTTATATCTGAATAGCTAGGCACAGGTGCGCATAACCACAATTCGCCCTCTCTTCACCATTTTTTTTATTAGTCCCATGGGATCTTACTCAATACCAGAGCCTATTTCATACCCCGTGCTGTTGTCGGAAATTATGAAATCGAATAACCAGAAATTGTCCGACATCTTTATAAAATATTGAACACAAAGAGTTTAACTCAGGCCTTTTAAAATAATTATACACTTTCGGTTATAGGTATAAAAGGAAAATGGGACTCTTTCAAAATTAACGAATAATTGGCTACATACGGTTCTACGTACATCATTATTTAAATGTGTGTTATCACAGTCTTAAATAACACTGTACGAGACAATTTTTGTTTTAAAATATTAGAATAATGATAATAGGTATAAATGCCAATAGGTACTAAAACGCGGGACTATCAATTAGTTTATTGATTAAAAAATACTTACTTTTGTATGTCCAAAGTTTCTGCTGCATGATTCTTTATTTCTGATGTTGACATTGAAGACGATCTTTTATTGTTTATTCATTTCTTTATAAGTTGCCTCTTTGTATCACAACAATTTGTTTTATAATGGTTACCAATGTTAACAAACGGCACAGAGCTATTTAATTAGAGTAGTTAATGATCAGACAATTCCCGTGATAGTCCTTCTGTGTGGAGGACACGCCGTCAATATTGTGTGCGAACATTAGCTCATTTCTCTCGGGCCAATCACTTACAACACAATTAGGACAACAATCATCCTAAGTGACGTGTACAATTTAGAACCATTAGAAATGGTATGCTATATTAAAATCAGTCAGGACCTCAGTTCATTTATGTATTAGAGTTTGACTCGTAGTTTAGCAAGCAGCATCATTATTTAATTTCATTTATGAAAAATTTTTGACTAGTGATAACCGTATAAAAATCTGTTCAATACTTTTCAAGTTTATAGCATCGAGAAAAGCAGACATAACGACAAATAACTTTATGTAATGAATGTACTTCAATAAAATTCATTTATTAACCTCGTCTACAATAGTTTTTTCCGGACTTCCGAACTCCTGTTTTATAATTGAAATACACGCGGAATAAACTAGTTCCAGTTAATTACACAATGTAAAACCTTTTAATAGAACTAATGACATAACTGCTAAAAAGTACAAATATATCACAGGGAATACCAGGCCTTGACGAATGCTTTACATGTTTTGTTTGTAATATTACCTTGAAAACGACGAAAAATGGAACAAAATATTTTGTTAACATCACACTGTTGTTCACAAAAAATGCGAGCAAATGGGGACACAATAAATATCCATGAATAATGTTCAGTAAAGCTTTAGTTACGACAGACGTGTGTAGAAGTAGATATTACGAATAAAGTCTCAAAGAAAATTCAACAAAAGTATCTCCTGGATACATGAAAATGTTGGTTTATAATGAGCTCTGGAATTTAAGTGTTCCCTAAGACAATGTTTGCTCGGTAAAATATTCTTCTATCTCCTTCAACAAAAGCTCATTTAAATTAATTTGATTTTGTAAGGCCACCTCCTGTAATGTACTTCAAAGACGGTCTTACTTCCCTCAATGGCTTTTGATAATCGAGACACTGTTTCAAGAAGTAAAAAGTTTTTTAAATACACAAAAAATGCTTTAAAAGAACTTTTATTAACTCATTTTACACTTCCTAACGGGAGGTCTCGAGCTCGAGAAACGGCAAAATTCTTTCTTATTATCTTTTCAAAACATTTATTAATTTACTCATACTTACTTATTTTTAACTTTTATGCATTTCTAAGATTTAATGTTGGTTTTTCTTTTTCATGACGAAAATAAAACTCTTATAATAACTGATAACCATGCCAACAGTTTTATTTCATAGTTAAGTTTCTATGACTAAACTACCTACCCAATATTTTAAGGTACAATTTTCCTACTATGTAGGCACTACGTTCTACGTCTAAGTATCTAGCTATCATAAGCGAACAGTCGTAAAATTAAGCAACTATAATAATGTAGGTATAAATATTTTTCTAATTATTCCGAATTTAGAATTTATTGTTCACTTCAAAGGTATACTTCCTACCTATGTCTAGAATCTATGTTTAGTTCAAATGATCTAAAGATTGTTTACGATTTTTTGCCATACCCAACAGAATGTTGTCTGTCGAAGCTGTAGTGGAACTTTGTAAAATATCATCTTTACTCGCCATTGAATGATAATCGTTCATCTCCGACCACGCTGGGTCGGATTTGGCTATTCTTTTCCTTTCTTTTATTTTTGTGTACAACAAAACGGAAACCATGATAAAAAACACAACGAACCCTAACGAGCACCCGACTATTAAGCCCATTCGGCGATTTAAAATTGACGATATTTGGAATTTTTTATTCGCTTTAGCTTTTACTGTTGTTGGCTTCCTAAATGTATTAAATGAAACGCATTCGCTTGAAGGAGATCGCATGAGTATTGCAGCTGCTACATCTTGCGTGATTCTGACTGTGGAGTTGGCATTATCGTCAATTGTTTTATTAACTTCAGCCAGTATTATCTCGTCCTCGTAGTCAATTGGTTCCTCCGACAGAGCGATGACACACACCACGTAATTTACATTTGGCTCTAGGTCCTTAATGTGAACTGATACTTCACTTTTTTCCAAGTATTTAGATTTCACCTGTAAAAAAGCAGTAAACATATTTTGTTTATATTTACGGTAATTTTTGAAGTTTGGTTTTTGATTGAGTATACTACTTACATCTGTGTGTCCATCTTCCCCGTAATATAGGATTTGTAAAGCTTTAATAGCTGTGCGGTTTCTGATGAACCACGAGACTGATACAGAGTTGTCCTTATGTCTGTCTACGGAAAGCTGAGATATCACTGGCACATCGCATTTTTCTTTCGGGTATTCATTGTTGAAGCAAGTAACTAAATTGGATTTTATAACTTTAGGATGATCTTGAATCCACACCCAAGCGTTATCTTTTTGGCAGCTGCATAGAATAACATTATCTGCAAAATAATTAATCATTGTTTAATTTGTCAAAGGGTAAAATAATGACGACTACAGTAAAATACAAACCCTTTATCGAAATATCTTGAATATAATTTTCAACAGAAGTTAATAACTCTATAGGTATTGTCTGTAACTTATTGTGTTCCAAATCAATTTGTATTATTTTATTCAAGTTCTTGAATGCTGTTACAGAAATATATTTGATGTTGTTGTAGCTCAAGTGCAATACCGTTAGCTCTTTCAAGTTTATAAGGTCTTCATTAAGAATGTTTTGCAACTTGTTGTGAGAAAGATCCAAAAGTTTCAAATTACTCAACTCTTCAGCGAAGGATTCTATTGATTCGATGTTATTATTTGATAAACACAGTGTTCTCAACTTAGTTAGTCCACGGAAATTGCTGGTTTTCAGTTGAGAAATCCTATTATAACTTATGTCTAAACTTTCTAAAAAAGTTAATTTGGAAAATGGGCTTACAGACAGACGCCTTATTTTATTGAATTTGAGATAAAGATGCTGTAAACTGGTAAATAGTTCGAATGTGATGTCGTCTATGTTCGTCATGTTCGTGGCACATATGTGTAATTCGTACAGGTTTGCTATTAGTGTGTTATTGTTTACTCTGTTCGCTAAGGACCAAGACACTTCGGGGTTCTTACTAATGTCAATATTGATTAGTGATAGTCCAAACTTCTTGTATGTCAACAGAAAATCGTATTGCACAATCTCGTTGTAAGAGATGTTAATGTTTTGTACGTTTGGAAATATGTCGAAAATAAAATGCGGAAGATGGTCTAACTTGTTGTAGCTGATGTCAAAAAGTGTTAAATAGGGATATTCAGTTTTCTTGCTCATAGTTAAAGCTTTGATTTCATTCTTTCTTAAAACCAAATATTTTAGTTTTGTTAATTTTTCGAAACCGCAAAGTTCTATTTTTGGTATGAGATTATCTGCAAGATCTAAACTCTCGACATTAGTGAAGTTTTCAAACGTGTTGTATGGCACAAAATCTAAAAAGTTATTGCTTATATTGAATTCCATAACTGAGTTATGTAACTCAAATAATACAGAAGGAATTGTACTGATAATATTCTGTGCTAAGTTCAGTCTCAACAAATTTCTATTATTTCTGAATGTGCCCTCAAAAACATGTTCAACATTGCAGTGTTCCATATAGAGAACTTCTAAAAGTGGGAGCTGAGTAAATGTCTCTACTGGGAGATAGTCAAGAACGTTAAAAGATAAAGTTAAATATTTCAGCCCGGGAATATTAACCGACAATAAGTCTCTAGCTTTCAGGGAATTATTTTTAAGTGAAAGTAATTTTAAATTATTCAAACCAAAGAAAGTACCATTTTCTATGAACTGAATTTCACAATTATCTAAATATAGTGAGCTTAGCGGTAAGCCTTGCTGAAATATATTTTTTTGAAGTGTCTTCAGCGGATTAAATGAAAGATTTAAGCTACGTAGTTTTTTCAAAGTGTCAAACGCCATTTCGAAAATGAAGGTAATTGAATTGTGAGAGATGTCTAAATCTTCAATTTCAGTTAAACCAAAAAACGTGTAATTGGTAATGTTACTTAGTAAATTGTACTGTAAATCTAGATAGCGTGCAGAGCTTAAGTGCTGTAATGAGAAGTCTTCTATGACAGAAATGTCATTATTATTTAATTCGATTCTCGTAACGAGACTTAAATTGCGAAACGTGTTCTTAGTTAAAAATTTCAAGCGATTATTTTTTAAGCTCAAGTAATTCAGTTTTTCTTGTGAGTGCAACATAAAGTTGCCTATTAGAGATAGCGAATTTGATTCTAAATGTAACGTAACTAAACTCGAACTAAATTTTGGCAAAACGTCATTTAAAACTATGATATAATTATAATGTAGACTGAGATATTTTAAATCAGTCATTTCTAAAAATGTACCAGGTTCTATGAAAGTAATCTCGTTGTGGTCCAAGTAAACTTTTTCTAGTTTGATAGAATTTATAAAATAATTTTTCGTAACGACTTTAATCTTGTTGTTATTTAATCTTATCTCATTAATGTTTACCAAGGGTCCTAATGTGTCATTATTAAATTCTGAAAAAATGTTATTGTCTAGTCTTAGTTTTAATATATTCTTATTATTTATAAAAATATTATGTGGCACTTGATTCAAATAATTAAATTCTAGACTAAGCTTACCAAGATTCTCTAAATTACTAAAGCTCTCACTATGAATGTTGTTTATACAATTCTTATCCAAATGTATAGCATTAATTTTCTTTGAATTAATAAACGAGTCTATTGGCACATCCAAAATATTATTATGACTTAATATTACTTCTGTGAGCGATGGCAAGTTACAAAATAACCCGTGGATGTGGTGCAAGTGATTGTGACTTAAATCTATGTATTCTATGTACTTGTTGTTCTGAAATAAATTGGGATTCAGTATTTTTATTCTATTATGACTCAAATCAAGAGATTTTAAATTATTCAATGAATAGAATGCCCTATAATGTATGCTGTTGATGAAATTAAAATGGAATGACAATGTTATCAGGGACGGACAAAATTTAAGGCAGTCTTCTGAAATAAATTCAAAATTATTGGAACTTAAATCTAGGTACTCTAGTGATATCAAATCAGAATTCTCCACTACGGGGAATGATGACATTTCGTTCCAAGCTAGTCGTAGAGATCGAAGGTGCCTTAATTTTGCAAAAGCTTCTATGGGAAACGTTGTGAGATTGTTTTCACTCAAATCGATTTCCAAGAGTGTTTGCTCGAGACTCGAGAATGCAGATTCCGATATTTCGCGTATAACATTTCCCTTTATGTTTAGTTTCATAAGCGGAAGACCATAAAAGCTGTAGCTCGGTATGTCTTCGATATAATTAGACGTCAAGTCGATCGATATCAGTTTCAGCATGCCGGATAAAGCTTTCTGGGGAATCATTTTGATTTTGCTCGATACGACGCTTAACGTTTCAAGGCACTTTCTCAGCGGCATAAACGTATCATCTCCAATGTCTTTTATGCTTGTTCTTGACATATGAATATGCTTTATACAAACGCCTTGAGGTATAAAATGGGGTCCCAGAGCTTCTTCGTTGTCGTCGAGGTCGTAAACGGAAAGTGAGTGTATGTCAGACACACTTTTAAGAGCATTTTTTATGTCTTTCGAAGCCGTATCCTGACAATCAAGAAACAAGCCTGAAAATAAATCCCTCATTAATAAAACGTTCACGTCGCAAACGATTTACAAACAGCCAGAAACCTTACCGTCTTCAAATGTGTAACAAGAACATTTGTTAGTTTTTATTAAGTCGGGGCAGCCCACGGTATTCTGAGCTCGCAAAATGGGGGGTAGAACCAGCAGTAACGAAACAATTTGCAAAACGTCGCACTCATTTTTCTTTGTCTTGAAGAATAAAACTTTTTTCATAGTTACATTATAATGTTTTTATATTTTACATTTTACGTCTCCTTGTTATTCTACCTGTAACAAACATAAAGGTTGTCATGTCCGCGTCACAGACAATGACTCAAGAGCGCACAATATCAATTATGTGTCCATTATATTGTTTACTCAACGTAATGAATAGATCAAAGACTCATGCTGTGTAATCAGAACCTCCGCCGGCTTGGGAAGGCGCAACTATACAGTAACATGATTAACGTACATTGTTGCCTGTAAATACTATTATGAATTACTTATTGGGAATTATAGTTCCCGTTCCAAGCTAGGGTAAATGGGAAATCCTTGTATGTTAGCAATTGTACACCTAAATGCAGTGCTTAAGTAGATTACGCCGATGAAATTACTTGAGACCACAGATTCAGTGTAGATATTGTTCGATTCAGTAAATGGGAACAGTAGATATTGCTGTAATGCTCAGCTTACACTACTGTCTGAAGATTATGTCAGCGCTTGTAGTATTTCGGCCGGAATACGTACGTACTCGAATCTCAAACACAAATGTACTCAACTGTATTATTCGGTTATACAATCACAGAACTATGTCATGTGTAAATAAATTCAAACCACCGAATAGTCACAAAAAGCGTACAAAATGTTCCGAATAAAAAAGAAACCGGTTATAAATATTGATAAAACTTCACTTTTATTCAAGTAAATTCATAACGAAAGACGAGAATTTATCTATCAAAAACATCGCAAACAAAGAAGTTTTTCAAGCATAAAATTGAATACAAATAACATTGAAAACAGTATAAAGTGAAATTCATTGTGAGTCCCAAAACATTTAAACAAAAACACTGGACAAATTGTTACACATATTGTTCTATTGACTATAGTTTTCATAAAAGTTTTGATGAAATATTTGTATACTCACCCAACTAGGTTTTCCTTGCGCTGACACACACAACTCGCGGTTAATTACAAAACAGTGTTATCCTGGAGGACATAGAGTCCATTTTCGCGTCCTGTCCTCGGCCGAGGGGCGAGGGCCGAAGTGCGCCTGTCTCCACCGTAGTAACGCTCACCACGCGTGAAACAAGCTGAATTTCAATCCAGTTCAAGTTTTTATCGGTTCTATTGGGCTTGAATGTGCCTTAACGCGCAACACAGAACGCCTGGGGTCATTAGAAAGCTCGACAGAAGACTGCCGCGGCGGCGCGCGCTGGGTAGGTCACCGCCGTTGTTGCGGCACCCCCGACCCACTATTATTATACTTTTATGACGAATCGGATTTTGCTACCGAACAACCGGCTTTTTGTAGTGACGTGATCGTGTAAGTGTTTATCGTATCATGACGTAGACACTTTCATGTAGCGCTGTCACGTTTTGTATGGCCGTCGGGAACTAATGTAAATGTATTGTTTTGGTAATTACAGGTTTCGTGTCATTTGTAACATATATTAATACAATAATGAAAGGCTCATTATTATAGGCTAACTATTGAATCAAGAAAAATGTCGTGGTTTGACTTATTTTAAATAGTGTGTATATTTTTTTCGTTAATAGAAAAAAATATAATTACGTGTGTAAGAGAATTTAAGTTTGATAGATTAAAATATTGTTTTAACCGCAACCTTGACATTTGACGTTGCACTGTAGGAGAGTGGGGATGGGGAAACAAATTCAGTGCTACAAACCGTGGGAACTTTGGTTTAAAATGTAGGACGAAGTAAATTATGACAGGTACTTATACGAAAAAAAAAAACGCAAGAAATACTGGGATCAAACCCTTATATTATGATGAAGACCCGAAACCATGTTCGAATATGAAATACAATCTTCGTGAATTTTTTACTTTGTAAAATTTTTGGATATTTTCATGTTCGAATTTAAACTTAAATTGTAAGGTATTAAGCTCAAATTGGAGTGTACAAATGGCTGGACTCTGCATTCGGTCGGTCGGCTCTTATCCATGTATGAGTACTTCTCGAAAGCAACGGACATTTCGTTGTTCATTTTTTATTTATATTTCTTTCATTTTGTCTCATCATTTCATTTTGCATCATTGCGACATGATTAGCATATAATATTACTTATATACTCACTCAATTGAATATTTTTAATAGAATTCAGAAAAAAAAAATCTCTTTAAAATAACCTCGTTAACTCGTCGAGTACCGGTTTTGTAGACACAATTATAGAACAATAGGTTGCGGTCACCGGTGACCGCTTGGTGTTTGACAGTTTAAATAATAAAAAAAAATGTGAATTATTAAAATTTGAAACATTAATGTATTACGAAAGTAATAATTATCCGTCGCTGGTTATTTCATTTATATCTTATATCCTATACTATTATATAAAGCGGATGAGTTTGTTTGTTTGAACGCGCTAATCTCCGTAACTACAAGTCTTATTTGAATAATTATTTTTGTATTGGATAGCGCATTTATCGAGGATGGCTATAGGCTATAAAACATCACGCTACGACCAATAGGAGTTGAGCAAAGCGTGTGAAACCGCGCGGAAGTAGCTAGTTTAAGAAATAAATATTCAAAGAAAAACTTTCTGTTTCATGTAACGTGTAGGGACACCCACACACATATTCATGTAAATGCATGTACACGTTTATGTGTGTAGTTCGTCATATTACATGATTCCCACCGAACGATATTTTTGTATTAGCAGTCAGGAATTGTACCCTTATAAGATAGCACGTACTGTGAATCAAACAATAAACTGTATTCTATTCATATTTTATTAACGTGTAATACAAAGACAATATAATTAATTCTCACTAAGTGTTAACGAACTTTTATTCCTGCTCCTACATTGGTGACCCCGATAAAGAACAGTTTGTGAGAACTTTATTAGTGAAATAATTTCGAAAACTTATTAATTTCGGACCGTGAAAATGACGACCGGTATACCTACTCATCCGGTTCCTGTTCCGCCGGCAGACGTTTTGGCCATTTCCATAGCGTCTCGCATTCCAGACTTCTGGGGCGACCAACCCCGCGTATGGTTCATACGAGTTGAGGCTGTACTAGCTCCACAAAAATTGGGGGATGACGCGAAGTTTGATTTGGTAGTATCTAAACTACCCAAAGATGTAATTATGCAGTTGAGCGACTTTTTAACAAAACCTCCCGAGACCGGAAAGTTTTTGGCGCT